TTACCAGGGATGCGCATGACGAGCCAGCACCACCAGTCAGTGTGCAATTATTATCATTGAGATACTTTGTGCGCCGCGGTTAGGCTGCTGTTCGCCGCTTTAATGAGACTCCCTCTCCCTCTTTGACACTCGAACGCTGCAATAACATAGTTTACGCGCCGTTCCACCCTCTTCCCCTTCGTCCTTCGTCCTGGCGCTCCGGACCGATCGTTTTCTCAATCGATAGTCACGCGGTAGACTCTTCGATCCTTCGTCAACGTCTCTCCTAACGACTCTGCGTATATACCTGTCACCTATATACAGGGTGTCCCAGTTGTTTCTAATGTTGTTTTACGAAACCTCGCGAGTACGTTCTATGGGCGTAGACGAAGAAAAAATGTTATATAAACGTAGGTCGTTGGAAGCATTAATAAAAAGTTTTAGCAAAAATACGAAAGTTGTACGAGATATACGAAATACGCTGAAAAGTCTGTTTATGCGAGCTGTCTTTACTATTCGAGGTGATTGAAGGTGTGAATGTAACTTCCTTCGGCGCCATTTTCCTCTTGTATCGTAGTAACCGCAAGTATTTCGTATTTTTGCGAAAACTTTTTAACGAAGCTTCAAACTACCTATGTCTGTATAACATTTTTTCTTCTTCTACGTCTATAGAACGTACTGGCGAAGTTTGGTCGGGAAAAATTTGGGACACCCGGTATGTAATATATATCCGCTTGAAGTCGTTACTAGGAAATTAAAAGTCGCGGAGGGAGGGGAAGGCGGGTGGTAGGAAGATGGAAAAGGGGGGTTAGAGTCCGTGTAATTGCGAATGTCGGTGGGTCGTCGTCGCGTTCGAGTCGGGCACGTCTCGGTTGGTATTTTTAATGAGGCACACGCGAGATTTCTCTCGCTTCGAGTAGACGATCCAGAGGGTGGGCGAAAAAAAAAGAAGAGGGAAGAAAATGAAACTAGTCGCGATCCGCGAAAAGGACGTTTCGCGACATCGACGGAGGACTTTATAATAGAGTGGAACCCTGTGAAATGACGACGTCCCGGGGCACTTGTTACTGGTTTTCTGGTTGAATTGCGAAGTTATCGAACGTCGAATGGAGAAACGTACCTCGTTCGCGGGCTAGCTATCGGTCGGGGTCACGCTCGACTAGCACAACCGGGGCGGGGATCGTTTAATTGCCGGAGATAAAGTTCGCCAAGGCCAACTTCGCTGGAAATATTAGAAACTCGATTCGGCCAATTGTTTGCGGTGTTGATTTAGCCGAATGGTTCTGGCGGGGAGAACACGGTGTTCCGCTGGAACTGTGAAAATGTAATAATACTTCGGGTACGCGTAAGTTTCCCTTAGTAAGAGCATCTTCTTTTTTGCTAGATTGCACAGGGTGATTCGATTTTTTCGGTGAATTTTGAAATTTCTAGTAATTCAAAAATGGGTGGTGAGAATTTTCAGGTTAGTACTTTAGATACCCTCGTCAGAGTTCACCAAAACACCGATAACGATCATTTTTAAACCAGGAAACCTCGATTGATATTCCAAATAAAAGAGGGTGAAGATTTTAAAATCAGTATTTTTAAAAATACCACAAATAATAGCACAGTAGCTCTTTTCTCGGAGAATTTAAGAGTAGGTTCGAAGTAACATGTGAAATCTGCGAAAATTTAAAAAGCACTATTTTTACAAATACCACAAATAATAGTTTTGTCATTTTATCGTTATTATTAGTTACGATAATGGTTCCAAATTTTCTAAAATACGTTCGCAAATCAACCACAATCACCGGATCACCCTGTGGAATCGAATGATCGACAGAACGACCAAATTCTTCGCATTACGTGTCTTATGCTGCCAGAGGAGACCCGAGAAAATCTTGTTCTTTCATAGATGTACTTAAAAAAAATCGCGCGATTCTTTCGTCCATCTTGTTTTCCATTGCGCCTCAGTAGCACAGTGAACGTTCTTTTCGTCGAGTAACAAACTCGAACTGCATTTCTAGGGACAGTTGTACATAATGTCCTTTAGTTCCGACACCGAGATATTGGCGTGAAGTTCTTCATCTGTTTAACGTGCAGACGAAAGTACCGTCCAATATACAGATCCGACCACAACCATCTGAAGCTTAGGCGCGTGTAATTAAATATCGTTTCATTGACAAACAGTGGATGCTTCGAAGTATATAGTATCCATAGACGTTTTCAATTTGACCATTTTTACAATAATTTTTTATACTACGACATTTATCTACTGTAATCGAGGCGAAGCGATTGTCTCTTTTATTTCGCACGATGCGTTTAATCGTACGGTAGGGTTGCTAGGACAAATGTACGACAAATGGAAACAGTAATACTTCGAAATATTTACTTAAACGTAGTAAAAAAAGGAAGACGTGTTTGCTTCAGAATTTCTATTGGAATATAGTCCTTATATTCGGTAATACGAATTTGTTTGTACTACTTGATCGAGCCAAGTACGTACCTCGCTAAATTTACTCCGTAAATTACGTGTTCATTCGAGAAGCATCCGCGGTAGAAACGTACCATGCTGAATACATTCCAGAAAGGACGATAATAACCCTCCTAATTACATTGTTTCCGTTTTTTAAGCGCATTTTTTTAAACCCGTTCTCACTGGTTCTTTCACGTGTATTGTACCGTAGCGCAGAGACTTTGTAACTGTTAATTAATTAATTCTCGGAAATGAGAGGTGAAACGTTGCTTTGATTCCGTCGTTATTTGTTGAATATACAGAAATGCCTAACAAAAACCAAAAAAAAAAAAACTAAAAACAGAATGAATTTCTTAACGTTTTGAAAAAGAAACGTTAAAAAATTCATCGGGTGATAAATACGAATTATAAAATCTGATTTCCGAGCATTAAAACCGTGTGCTACTGTCGATGTTATCGATTTAAAAGAAAAAAAAAAGACGTTCCTTTGCGTACCGTTGCAAAAAATCGCGGGAAATTTTCTGCAGCGTCCACAATTTCTTTGAACTGTCGTAACCGTTTCTCGAAGACTGACACAGGAATCATGAATTTACATGATTTCGTTGTACACGCTCGTCGATCCAGAAAGGAATTGCGTTCGTGACGGGGAAACAAATCGGGAGAGAAAAAAAAGAAGAAAAATTGCAAATTCGAGGGAGAACTTCCTCGATCCGATCGAACGTCGATCTCGAGCGTACTGAATCACTGAGAAAACGAGCGATCGTTTCTCCCCCGTGTGATCGCGCTTTTTCGAAGAAAAACGCGTGAATAAAAAAAAATCGCGAAACGTGAAGATTTGATCGCGAAGCGTTGCACGATTCGACTTTGGTGTAAGCCGGTGCTGTCCAAGCTAAGCTGCAGATTTTAGGGAGCTTCCCTCACCTTGTCTCGTTTCTTGTACCGCGGAAACATCGGTCCAGGCTATGTCGTTCGCGAGGAATATCAGCAAGTGTGATTTGTATCGCAGAAAACCCACCAATTCCTCTGTTTCCAGTGATACATGAAAAGAAAAAAAGAGGAAAAAGTACACGAAGAACGTTTGTATTCGTCGACAGTACTGATTTCGATCTGAAATCAATTGATCGCTCGAGGTTGAAACAGCACAGACGATTCTCGATCTTACATGGATCCAGATAGCGAGTAAAGAAACAAGCGATCTTGAGGAGTCAATTGTTTTCAGACAGACCACATATTTGGAATAGTAATAAATTGGAAGGTAAGAAGATTGTGCTTTCTCGATTGATCGCTCGAGTCGTGTCCTAATCGTCGTTGAAACTGCCTAACTCATTCCATTGCCACCTGTGTAAAGAATTATACATATTGTAATAGAGAAGGACTTTTCTCCACGTGTATACTGTTACGTGTAAACGATAGTACCGTGCAGAACGCGAAGCATGTTCCTGACGAAGAGTTGTTAGGGCGCCGTTCTTTTCTTTTTTTTTCTTCTTCTTTTCTCCTTGTTCTGCGAATCAACCGCGTCCAAGGTTTCTCTCGTACTTCGACGAGTGTGTTGTATATGCGCGCGGACTTTCTATGGGGCCGAGTCATGAATAAATGACGTTTCATTAACATATTTTCGTATCTCGTACAGCTCTCCCGTTGTACAGGATAAGAACGCTTTAAAGTGTTTTTATCGTAATAAGGATTATTATAAATGTAAAGGAACTATGTTTGCGTGTCACGATATAGGTGTAAGAAACTCCTTAGGGGACAAAAAAAAAAAAAAAGTACCGTAGCGATCAGATCTTTTTCTTTTACTTTTAGATCCTAGATGACATAGGAACGTTAAGGATTGATAATCGAGGTAAAAATCTTTGCGAACCGTTGATCATGTCCGTTACATTTCTTTCTATTTTTGTTTTTTTTTTTTACTTTATTACATATTGCCTTTCTTTTTTCTTTTATCGATATTCGTGTTATTATTATTGCTACTTTTACTATTATTAATTAATTCATATTTACTGTGGTTAGTATTTAATATTCCTATGAATTTATTGGATTTATCATGTTTACGTTGCGCTGTTATTATTATTATTATTATTATTATTGTGATCATGATTATTTGTAGAAAGTTTTACCAGAAAATTACGCCACTTGCCCTTGTAAACGGAATTTAGATTTTGTTTCTGTGTAACGTTCTGGCCGATTTATAATTTATACGCCATTGTCAATGTACTATCACTGTAAATACTATACATATTTTATAAATGAAATATTTAGCGTGACTGTAATATTAAGAGAATGTACTGAAAGCACCACTCTGTACACTCAAACTACGATGGTTAAATTTTAATAAATATTTCCCAACCCCATCGCTGTGTCTCCAATTCTTATTTCTCCTCTATTGTATTCAGAATAATTGATACAGCGCTATGCTGATAAGCGAAGGAACGGAAGCAAAGGAATCTCTCCTTTTCTTTTTAATACGCTTTTATTGAGAAAATAGCTGTGATAGCAATGTCCTCGCAGTCTCTCTTCCTTATCAATATAAATATAATCGATTATCTTTGTTTTGTTTTCTTTTTTTGGTTCAAACAGGCTTCGGTATTCTTTCTTCTTTGGTCACTTTCTTTAACTTCGACAGCGCGCTCTCGCCGTATCTGGTCACCAATTCCTCCACGAACTCGTCCTTCAATTTCTTCAGACATCTGAAAAACGAAAACAACAAATGTAAATTATATTATATTTACAAAGGTAAATTTCAAACAACGTCGATTATCAACCGTAAATAATCCACTCGACGATAACAACAAACACTGTATCACATTAAATACACACTGTTCCAAAATAATTAGAGGATCAGATATTCAAGCGACTACATTGTTTATCACTGAATGCAACCCCACTCGTGTTTAAAACGCTTCGTTGCATTGGATACTCCACTTATTGTATCCGTTGCAAAATAGTGAACAGCGATAAAACAAATTGAATTTTCCTCCATCCTCCTTGACTGTCCAGGTCAGTCTTGAAAACAATGGAAAACACTCGATCCCCTAATTGTTTCGAACGGCACGCAATTGTTCTCGTATTACCTCCTATAAATGGAGTCGGTCCTGAACTTGCCAATGTCGAGGCTGGGAGCGTGAGGTCGATGGATAATGAACGTATCCGGCAAGACGATGTACCTATATAAATCTCCAATTTATGGCATCGCGCTATAGTGCTCGGTGGTGTAAACTCATTTAGAAAGGGTATTTATGAAACGCCTCTTACTTGTAGCCAAGCACCGTCAGATGAGTCAAATAGGACACTTTGTTCCATCCAAAACCGATGAACCTGGTGTCGTATCTAGGTGCAAGTCTCGAAACAACGATGTAAGGCTCGAAGTCTGGCTCCCAGGAAACCTGTGAGACAATTAATGACACGCTGCTACTTCTTTTTGGGTATCGAATGAGCCACTCGGAAGTGACAATGATTAACTCCACTTTTCGATATTCTTGCAATTTTAGTGTCAAAGCACATGCTTGGTGCTTAATTGTTCGTAAATGAAACTTTGATGGAGTTTGTCACTTTGGCTTCTGAGAGGCTCAAATGTCACACTGGGGTCTTTCTGCACGAATTCAGTGAAATACTTTGTGGTGTCTATTAATTTAGGGACATAAAATTAGAATGTTCAATTAAAATTAAGAAAGTTTTATATTTGCAACTATTTTTCGATGCAATAACGAAAATCAGGATCATGAGAAAGACCACGGTGTGTTAATGCAGGAGTAACACGGTCGCTGCCACGGACGCAGCGTATGCGGTCCGTAATGCACAGTCGGTGGAAGAAAATATGTACACAAACGTGTGTTGATTTTCAAACCCGATTTTCTCGAAAACTAAGCCTCGAATGGAAATATTCTACTCTATATTTTTCTATTCTAAATTTTCTCACGAATCTATTATTTATTATTCGTCTGATATTTAAAATTTATTTTATTTATTAATATCTAATATTTAAATCAGCGGCACTCTCGCTTCTCTTCGACTTTTCTAAGTCCAAGTGAGACTCCAGAGTCCCATACCAGAAATCCAAGATTTTCACATTTTCATGAATTCACGCTTCCCTACAAAGTAGACAAATTCAAAACACCCGCGAACTTAGAGGATTAACAAAAATTCGTCAAAATGTACAAGACTCTGGAGTTAATTCACGATCCTTCGAACAACACCGAATTATTCGATCCACCTACTTCATAAGGTTCCACCGAATTCCGCCAATAACTGTAATTCGTGGCAGCGTGACCCTGTGTCCAGACGTGATAACGAAAGGTGTACAGAACGCCGCGTTTCAAGAATCTCAAAAGTTCCTCCTTGTTATTAGGAAAGGTGAACCTACAAAATACGTGCACGGTGTACACATCGTACGATCCAACCAGTTTTAACATTTAACGAGGAAATAGGGTACCTATAACGCTCTGTCTCAAACGCAGGAACGATCAAAGCTACTTTGTCCGGCTCGGTGATGTTCAATTTACCGATGTAGCTCATGAGGGTTTCGTGCAATCCGTACTGCGGCAGGAAATCGACGTCCAATTGGAAGATGAACGGAGTCGATACGTACGACATAGCGATGTTTCGCAGGTAATTGATCGGATAGAGTTCCTGGATGAAAAGAGCGATCGTGTAATTAAATATCTGTGTGTGTACGTTCTCGAGAGTGGGTAATTGGATATTCGAGATGATTTTTATACTTTCTTTGCAACTGTAACGTGGATCTTTTTGTTGTGAAATGTTACGAGGCCTCGTTTCGAGGTATTTTAAGATGCTTCGCTTTCAACTTGGCCACCTTAATCCGTTACGGAAATGTTACCCTTGTGTTGGAGGAATCTGCTGGCCATTCCGGCGCCAGATTCTGCGCCACTTGACCCACGGCGCCAGGCTTTGCGCCACTTCTCAGATGTAGAAAAACTCGTATAAGAGTACATTGTAGCTCCTACATCATCGGAATACGAAGGAGAAAAAAGATTCGCGTTGTACATGTGTTACCATTCACTCCACGAGGATTATAAATAATAAAGTCATTCGTGTGCTGCGTTCGAGAATTTGTGTATACGGTTTAAAATAGATGTTTTTCTTTCGATGAGAGTGTGGAAATTTTCGAGTTTTTCGTTTCCCTTGGTAAACGTTAAAATGGAGTCGCTAAAAAGTAACTTAAAATATTGTTTCAAGGAAAAGTAATTTTGACCCAAAATTGAGATCAGAATAATCTCTCTATAAATTGAAATTTTTCGCAGTGTTCAATAATAATTAAAAATAAATTAAAAAATGTTCTAAACAATGAAAGAAAAGGAAATAAACTTTTCATAGCTAAAAGTATTTCGTTTCCCTTGATAAACGTGAAAATCGATAAAAAATGCAGTCACTAAAAAGTAACTTAAAATATTGTTTCAAGGAAAAGTAATTTTGACCCAAAATTGAGATCAGAATAATCTCTCTATAAATTGAAATTTTTCGTAGTGTTCAATAATAATCAGAAATAAATTAAAAAATGTTTCAAACAATGAAAAGAAAAAGAAATAAACTTTTCGTAGCTAAAAGTATTTCGTTTCCCTTGATAAACGTGAAAATCGATAAAAAATGGAGTCGCTAAAAAGTAACTTAAAATATTGTTTCAAGGAAAAGTAATTTTGACCCAAAATTGAGATCAGAATAATCTCTCTATAAATTGAAATTTTTCGCAGTGTTCAATAATAATTAAAAATAAATTAAAAAATGTTCTAAACAATGAAAAGAAAAGGAAATAAACTTTTCCTAGCAAAAAGAGTATTATACAACCATTTGAACAAAATTGCGTACATTAAAAAGCGCCAACAGTGAACAACAGCGAACAACACTTTCCCACGCGTAAACAGCATCGAGCAAAAGAAAAAAACACTGTAAGAAATGAACAAAGCTAGAATAATTTACCTAAAAATTTAATAAAAAACAAACAGTATTTTGTTCCTTATCGATACACCATATCGGGTCAGATCCGTTACACGACTTAAGATAGCCAAGCTAAACAAAAGAGAAACAATATCCACGAAACAGCTTATCTTGTAACTAGCTTCATATACCCCACCACTGAAGTTTCTCTACAAGACGGTATAATATCGTGACTAAACGCACCCCATCCTTGTACACGACGTGGTACGCGATGTTCTTCCTGCCTCGTAGCTCCACGGAGCCGCGCACGAACTCGAGGAAATTTTGCACCTCGGCATCGGTAAGGTACAGAGCAACGCTTATGGTACCAGGCCAATGTTTCGATAGATCTTCCAGTAACGGTATACGTTCCACGCTGCACTGAGTTACCAGAGCAACATCTGTCTGGGCGTACACGTTGTACTCGTACTCGAGAAGAAAAGGATGAGTTCGATACAACGTGGTCGCGCCCCTCGTGAACTCTCGACACGGACTTGACTCGTTGTACTAAAAAATTGTACATATCGTCCGGTACTGGTAATTCGTATGATCTTAACACTTTATCTACCGCTGGCCGATTCGTCGACTTTTCGGTACTCGAGGGTCATCGACGAATCGGCTAGAGGTACCCCAGAGGTCATCGACCTCTAAATGTGATCTTAGTGATCAGTCTTTCGTTTTTCTTTAGTTAATTTTTGATAAAATTCCTATTTCACGTTCACTCGTTGGTAAGCGGGAGAGTGACGTCTCTTTTACGAACGATATCGCGCTATTTCCGCGCAAAGCCCGACGAATCCCAACTATAAGCGGTAGATAAAGTGTCAATACTTGACCGCTGCTATGAAATACCGTCAAAGTATGCACTATGACGGACGTAAGTTGGAGACTGCCTGGGTTGGAAAAGTGTAACAGCTAAAGTGACCGTTCTCAGTCAGCTTTATGGGTAAGTATATCATAGGAATGGTAGATTATAAGAATGATTGTATCGAGTTTCTGGACTGGAAAGATAGAGATGCGAATGAAGAGTCTACCGCGTGTGAATGTTTAGTTGAAAACGATAGCTGTGTGGACGAAGAATATTTGGGTCCAAGCGATAGAGCTGTGGATGATAAGCGTTTGGAACGAGAGCGCGGGAGTGTAGGGTGAACGAAGGGTGAGTGACTGCCGAAAAGTTCGGTGGAACTGATTGGATCAGTTCTGAGAATGTCCGCGAAGAGTGAAAGAAATAGAGAAAGAGAGAATGAGTGAACGAAAGAATAAAAGAAAGTCGTTGAGAGAGAATATATAGAGTATCGAGAGTCAAGTAGAGTTAAATGTTAGTCTTTAATTATCTTAGTTTAATAAACTGTTATTATCGTTAAAACTTGTGTACCATCTGTCTACCACCAAACATTCCTATAATCTCTACAGATGACTTTATAAAGCTAAACGGTAGGCCTCGAAGGAATACTTTAGATAAAATAAAGTAAAGAAAACCTTTTTAGAGTATACGAAAGAGTTTAAAAAAAGATATTTCAAGTAAAAAAAAAAAAAAATTGAAAGAAAATAAAGGGGTAAGTATTTCAGTCTAACTCTGTTTATGGATTTAGTAGAACGAATACGAGCGTTTTAAACACGTGAACATTTGGCGCCGAGACAAAGGATCGGAATTGTGGAAACGGAGTCTAATAAAAGCCAGCTACAGGCAACTGTAAACACAGAAAGCAATATTTTCCTATCTATGTAAAGAATTGATAAACGAAGCGCCAGATAGTGTAGTCTCAATAAGGGACAATCTCCAACTCACAATTTGCAATCTATATTTTTACCTCCAATTTCCTCCCGTATCTCGCCGAAAAGAAAACAACTTACTTGAGACACGGTTTCGTATTTGTCACAACCAAACAATCGTCTACGTAACAAATTCCCGTCCATCTCGAGGAACACCCTGTGCAACTTACGAAACTCGTTGATATGCTTATTGTACACGTCCTGTTTCCGAGGTGAATTCCAATGGACGATCTAAAGAAACGTGTCATCCCCCGATAAGCCAAAAAACTAAGAATTTTTCCAAAGAAAAAAAAAAACACGAAAAATCTCGCTAGGACGAAAAAGGAAAATTTTACATACGCTTATCTGACTAGTGTCGCGGTAACATAGATCGCTGATCGTGTGATCGCTTAACTGTACGTTCCACGTGCACTCTATTTTATGCACGACAGAGGGATGCTCTTTGATAACAGCATTTATTATATCCTGATCGGCCAAACTAGTTTCCGGTATATGGAGGAGCACACGCCTGGTAACAGCTTCCCACAGGCTCGTAAATTTTCTGTTACGGAGTTGTTGCAAGTGCATTAGCATCACGCCGGTGTTAAAGCCCCTTCCAAGGGCCGGCCATGGTCGTTGACCGTAAGACAGTGCCTTTATGTACCAATGACTCTGATTTTCCGTCAACCCTAGCGCCTGATCGTTCGCGAACTTCCCGAACATCTGCCAAAGCAAACTAACGTCGTTCAGCACGGTCACATCCGTGTCGAATACAAGCACTTTATCCTCCCGCATCGCATCCGGCAGAATTAATTTCAGAAGGCCGTAAACGCCGGAGTAATGTTTGTTCGGTATCCAGGACACCTTCGGCACCCATATCTCCGCTTTGTAATACGTCAAGTTCACTGAAATAAAAGTGTACGAGATTCTATATGCGGTTCGTCGAGACACAAGAAGATCTAGGTAGAAAAAAAAGAAACGATCAAACGTGTGACTCCCATCCGTTCCTTAAATAACACCGAACTTCGCGAATTAGCGAGTGCTTTTGAAATTTATCTCGACCGGTCGGCAACGGCGGTACGTTAATTGTTGCAACCGGGTCAACGAGAGTTCGACATTTTTCACGTGGCTGTACGCGTTGTATATAGGGTGTCCGAATTGTTTCGGAGCAAACTTTGTCTGTGTGTTCTATGGGTGTAGACAAGAAGAAAATGTTGTATGAACATAGGTCGTTTGAAGCTTTGTTGAGAAGTTATAACAAAAATACGAAGTACTCGCTATTTTGTGTCATAATAACTGCACATCCGTTATATATTATACCATTCCCTTCGTATTTCGTATTATTGTTATAATTTTTAACAAAGCTTCAAACGACATACATTCATACATTTTCTTCTTTTGGAACAATTGTATGTTCTTTGGAATCAATTGGAACACCCCGTATAATATTCAGTCATGGGAGAGAAAGAATAATTTAATATTTCGAATTGGAAGTAAAGAGGAAAAGATCGGGTAGAATTTCGTTTATAATTTATGCCCATCGTACATATTGGCAAAATTTGATAGGAAACAATTGGAACACCCGGTATGATACTCACTCATGGGAGAGAAAGAATAATTTAATATTTCGAATTGGAAGTAAAGAGGAAAAGATCGGGTAGAATTTCGTTTATAATTTATGCCCATCGTACATATTGGCAAAATTTGATAGGAAACAATTGGAACACCCGGTATGATACTCACTCATGGGAGAGAAAGAATAATTTAATATTTCGAATTGGAAGTAAAGAGGAAAAGATCGGGTAGAATTTCGTTTATAATTTATGCACATTGTACATACTGGCAAAATTTGGTAGGAAAAAAACTGGGACACCCGGTATAATATTCCACTCCTGGGAGAGAAAGAGTAATTTAGTGTTTTGAATTGGGAGTAAAGGGGAAAAAAATCGGGTAGAGTTTCGTTTTCTAATGGTTTCATAAATGAGTGACCTAGTTTAATTACCAGCTACGTGTTGGAAGGAATGTTTTATTTTCAAAAATTTACCATGTGAGAGTCGAAGAAATATGTCGGAATTTTCGTGAAGATAGAGTTTCGTTTTCTAATGGTTTCATAAATGAGTGACCTAGTTTAATTACCAGCTACGTGTTGAAAGGAGTTTTATTTTCAAAAATTTACCATGTGAGAGTCGAAGAAATGTGTCGGAATTTTCGTGAAAAAAGAATCATCGACATTTCTGAGTAAAATTTACATTTTCTTTTTTTTTTTTTCCAATATTTTCACAGATGTTAAGATAAAGAAAATTAAATGACCTTGAAATGTTCTAGCAATATTTCTCTTCGTAACACGTTCACTACCACCAGAAGATCGATAACACGCTGCGCAATACACTCTGGACCGCACATGCTGCGTTGGTGGCACCGAACGTGTTAGCCTCGTTAAGCTCTACAATGTCTAGATTTCATCTTTTTTTCTTTAGTAGATTTTAAATAAATTCATCGATTAAAAGCGTGTTTAACTAATCTAAGAAACGGATGAGAACGACGATCTATTCATTACTAACCATGCGGTAAATCCCACGTTCGAAAAACAGTTGTCAATGTCCTCTTTGCAATTTCGTCAACGAGCAAGTGAAAGTGCAAAGGTTTCGTACGGTAGAATAAAACCGATTTTACTACTGTCACCAGAGCAAACGTCGAATTGTATCCGGCGCACACCATCGCGATGTGTATGGTCCCGCATTTTGCCTTAAAACAAATCGCTGATCTTCAACGTTTCAATATCTAGGCTTTCCTTTCACAAAAAAAGCACGCTCACCGTTCTTGTATAAAATTACATAAGATGATTCTCAATTGCACGTTGATACATTTAAGATGCAAACGAAGAAAAGTGTACGATTAAAACAGGATATTCTGGTTTTCTTGTTTCAGCTAAGATAGAATTGCAATCTCTCTGTCCTGTTGCTCGTCTAAATAAAACTTCACTCGTCTACGTCTATTCTAATTGAGGACATTAACGAGATGCTGAATATTCTCGCGTTAGAATAAACGAATATACAACTTAATTGATGCCGTTATGACTAACATCTTTAATTAATCGTAATTAAACAACAAGGTCGAATAAGCTGTATATTTTGCGTACGTTTTCGATGTAATTTAAAGTATAATTCGCCACGTTTGGAAATAGAACGAAAAAGTATAATCGACCAATTACATTTGTGGGTTAGAATTCTTTACTACGCTAATCAATTGTACGTATATACGAGGGATAATAATACCATGCAATTAAGAATCATTTTTGAAAAATATCCAGAAATATTTATTTTTAAATTCACAAATTATCACAATGAAACGCGGCCATTAGGTTTTTACCTCGTTACGATTACTTTCTGAACGGAACTTTTCAAGGGTAGGCTGTTCCACGTGTAAACCCGCCTTTTCTACATCCACGGACAACAAGCCTGGTTTGCCATCAATCTTGATGGAACCGATTTCGGCGGAAGGAACTATAATACACACGGTATGTCAATATATAAAGTAACGTAATAAAAACGCGAGTATTACCGTTCAATAATAAATACAGGTAAAAAACTGCCGATGGTATTAA